TGGGGGAGGGCCTGGTTCTGTGGTTCTGTCTTTGCCCAACCAGCCTATGGTTTTGGATCAGGAGGGCCAGCGGCTCCCACAGTAAAGCCCGTCCAACTTGTGAGGCTGGGAATTCCCGGGCACCTGGCGGGCGGATGTGCCAGGGCCTGGGCTGGGCCTGCCTAGGGCGGGCCGAGAGGCGGGTGCGGGTCGGTCTCTCTGTCGCTGCCAGGCCTAATTGCCTCATTAGCGTCTGCCTGCTGCCCAGGCCTGTCTGATCCTCACCCACGGCCCACACAGCCCTGTTTTTCAGGAATCCCTCCTCGGAGGCGCTGAGGCATCGATGGTGACAGTGATGGTAACCATGTGGCTGTGATGAGGCTGGGAAACGTCCTGGGAGTGGGTGCCTGGTCCAGGGGTGAGGTCGCTGGGTTGAGGCCTCAGTGCCCCGCCCGCCCAGGTTTCCCGGTCAGTGCCAGCGGCCTAGCACCTGCCTGGTGTGCGGCTTTCCCGTTCCCAGGTGGGTGGCCCGCAGCACCAGGGAAGTCTGGGGACCCTCCTTCCTAGGCTGGCCCCACCCAGCCCTATTCTTGCCACAGGGGCCCCACGACCTGGGAGACCCCCTTCCTTCAAGGACAAGGGTCTCCTGGGAGCGAGGGGGGGGAACCAATGAACTCTGACTCAGGGCTCCTGGGCCAGGGGCCAGCTCTGCCTGAGACCCTAGCCCTGGCTTACGCTGTCTCCCATCAGAAGATAGCACTGCCCTGCCCCCCGACCCCCCACCCCTGTCTCCAGATGGGGCGGCCCCTGGCCTGAGCCCTCAGGGCAGTGCAGAGCCCAGGGCTGGAGGGGTGCGGAGAGGAGAGGGCAGTTTGGCCCGAGGTAGAGTCCTCCCTAGAAATCTTCCTAGGAACCTCAGCCCCCTCCCCCGCCAACCACCAGGCCCAGGCCCAGCCCAGGAGCTCAGGCTGGGGAGCGGGCTGGATCCCCCCCAGAGCTGGGGACACAGCCGACTGCTGCTGTGGAATCGGGTGACCCCTGGAGGTGCCTTGGCCCCTCCATCCCCAGAGCGGGGCAATACCTCGCCTACCTAACTCCCAGGGTGCAGGGCCGCAGGCAGGTTCTACATGGGACTGTCGGGGGGACGGGCTCCTTGGCTTAAGGTACTGGGCTCAGAGCCCCACCCCCCTGCACTGCAGGTGGCAGGTGGCCTTGGCCTGGTCACCTGCACCAGATGAGGACAAGTGCTGCCACTTGCCAGGCCTGCACTGGACATAGCGAGACAGTCCTACGTGGCCTTCAGATGACCACGTGAGTGCCGTGTGTGCTGGAACAGGGCTGGGTGAGATGTGGAGGGCTGGGTGGAGATTGGGGAGCTTGACCTAGAGACTTGGTGCTAATACTGGCTTGATCACCGCCGCCCCCTTCGGGCCTCAGTTTCCTCCTCTATATCATTCAAGAATTCCGTGATGTCCAGCGTCCATAGCTCAGTGGTTGATCATCGACCTATGAACCAGGAGGTCACGGTTCGATTCCCGGTCAGGGCACATACCCAGGTTGTGGGCTCAATCCCGTGAGGGGCGTGCAAGGGGCAGCTGATCGATGTTTCTCTCTCTCTCTCCTTCTCCCTTCCTCTCTGAAATCAATACAAATATATTAAAAAAAAAAAAAAAAAAGACTTGTGTGAGGCAGGAGGAAACACACCAGGTGAGGGGCCCAGCCCTGGGCCGAGCACATGTCCCCTGGCTCACCTGGCTCAGCCCTCTTGTGCCTGGACAGTGGAGAGAGGGCCCTGAGGGCAGGCAATGACCCCCCCCCCCACGGGCAGGCCAGGGAGCGTGGGCAGGTGGGCTCTGAGGAGAGGCTGGCCCGACGGGGATGGACACGCAGACGCGACAGCAGCTGCCCATCTGCGGCTGTCGTGGGGGCGGCGCAGGGACACTCCCAACACCTGGGCCTGCCCATGCAGGTCCCCCCGTGGGGCAAGGCTCTGCTCACAGCCTCATGCCTCTGCCTGTGCCCACGCCTGCCCGCTCATGAGGAAGGGGAGGGAGGACCTGTCACCGGGCCCTGCATGGTTAAGTGTGGCTCTACCTCCAACCGTGGCCTCACCAGCCCTGCCTCCCTCCCTTCGCTGTCACCCCACTCCATCCCCACCCTTTGCTCGGACGCAGCAGAAAACCCCCTTCTCTGACCTCAGGGAGCCCTTCCCTCCAGGCTCTGACCCAGGCTTCCTGCCTCCTCAGGGCTCTTCCTACGGCGTTGTCCAAAGTGGGATCCGTGGAACCCCTGCCTGCCAGGTACGCCTCGATGAAACGGCTCATGCGGTCAGATGTCTGGGAACCACCATGAACTCTGTGGCCCCGGCCGCAGCGCAGGAGTGTGGTAAAGGCTCTGACAAGTGCTGCAGGCACATCGCTGCCTTTATTTCGTTCATCTGGTGCTTCCCTGACTCTGCTGACCACAGCAGCGGTTTCCCCACAACCTCTACTCCCAGCTCAGCTCATGGGCCCGTGCCCTCAGCGTGTTCTTCAGGAAAAGTGGCCTTATGTTGCCCGGTAGCTGTTCCGCCCAATTTCTCTTCTCTGGACTCCCCTCTGCATTTTCAGATGAGAAGCCGCTCAGAACCCCACAGCCTTCTCTGGCTGTAGCGGCCCGAGGTCTGCTTTTCACAAGGGGCCCCGCTGCCCAGTGGGCTCGGCTGTCCTGCCCGGCCCCGGGGAGGGGCACGATTAACCGGGTGCTGCAGAGCAGGCTGCAGAGGGGCGTCCCCAGCCAGCTCGTGGCCGTGCCCACCCCCGCTCTCCACTTGGGGGCTGTGGACAGGGCCCTCCCCATGTCCAGGCGAGTTGGGTTATGAGCCCGAGAGCCTCCTAATGAGTTCCACATGCAGCGGATGCCTCCGGAGGAAATGGGAAGGGGCTGGGAGGCGGAGGGGGAGGGGCCGGGATTGGAAATGTGCTTTGGAGGAGGAAGACGGAGGACGAAGGGAGAGGAAAGGGCAGAGGAGGCAAGAGCCCGAAGACTC